GCGCCAGGAGAGCTGGGGGAGGTGGGGTCACCACCACCCCCCGCCAATCCCATGATGGGAAAACACGGTGCAACCCCAGCTGCTGTGCCCAGAGCCTGTGGCCCAGACCCCATATGAAGGGGGCGGGTCAGGGGCCTGGCCTGGTGCCCACCTTGCACCTCCTCCAGCTGCCGCAGCCGCCGTAACGCGGGCTGCAGGGCGCGGTGCAGCTGGTGGCTGTCGCGGAGCAGGCGCAGCAGGTGGCCGGAGCGCCAGGCGCAGCCCGTGTGGTACACCAGCTTCCGGGCCGGCAGCAGCCCATCCGGCCAGATCTCGAACTTCTTCCCCTGGACAGAGAAGAGAGGGACTTCACGTTACAGGAAAACCACATGACAGCAGGAGACAAGTGTTCTAAACACCAGCCAAGCCCTCTGAGGGGCAGTTCCAGGGGCAGGACCGGCTCCCCGCCCGGACGCCCCCAGGCTTGCCTGCACCTTGTGGATGATGACCTGCTGGTCAGTGCCCTGGAGGAGAAGGCTCTCCTGGGCTCCTGGGGGCTGAGACCGCCCCCACCTCAACCCCATCAGACACGCACCAGAAACGCCAGCTTCCCAACACGGGACCAGGGGAAGTCGTAGAGCAGCTGTGGAGCGTGGTGCACCTCCTGCGGGACAGCAGAAGCGGCCGTGTCCTCGGGGTCAGCCCTTTGGGAGAGGGGAGGGGACAAGGGGGGCACACAGGGGGAGGAGGAGGAAGGGGAAGGGGAATGGAGATGGGGCCCTGGCGGGTCACCTGGTAGACCTGCACTCCTTTGAGCGTCAGTCCGAGAACCACAGTGGGTCGGTCTTCCTTTTCATCCTGAGAGGACGTGGACAGCAGAGCGGTCTATAGCCTGGACCTGGGGTGTCGGGCTCCTTGTGGACCCTCCCTGGTGGGCCTGGGGGCCTGAGGTCCACCGTGACCCGCGCTGAGGCAGGGTCTCCAGGCCACTTCCCACTTTCCCTCTGATGCTGGGTGGGCGTCCTGGTCCCAGGACGGCTGTGGGGACACTGTCCCTCCTGTCGGGGGGCTGGGGTCCTGGCCACCCTGGGGCTCCGCTCGCTGGGGAGGCGTGCCCTCAGCCTGAACCGCCGTCCCCCTCCCAGCCTCCCCGCAGGCTTAACCTTGTACAGCCTGAAGAAGTGGACGGGCACGTCCTCCAGCCGGCAGGCCTCCCTGATGAAGCGCAGCTCGGCCTCCTTGGGGCTTAGGCCCCGCTGCTCCCGGTGCAGGGTGGGCACGTGCCTGAGGATGTAGGCGCTGCCCCTCTTGGTGATGATCTGAGGAGGGGCCGCAGGCCGTCGGGCGCCGCTCCCCTTCCCTGGCCCTCCCCTGGGCCCCAGGGACACTGCCCTGGGCGGGGCCCCGGGATGGAGAGAAGGGCCCCACCGGGCGGAACGGCAGGTGCTCACCCACTGCGGGAAGTAGGCCTGGGGCTGGAAGTACGGCCCGCGGTGCGCCGGCTCGCGGTGGTTGCCCAGGTCGGCCTGCAGCCCGAGGGCCGCCAGCAGGAAGTAGGCC